GAGTCATGACCAGTTTTTCAAAGCATTTAGCGACTATCGGGGTGAGGGCCACTGGCCGATAGTCATTCAGACCAGTCACTGTAGAGTTTTTTGGGACTGGGATGATGGTGGCAGTCTTCAGGCAGGTGGGAACTGTCTCCAGGGTAAGTGAGGTGTTAAAGATGTCTGCCAGCACCTCACAGAGCTGATCAGCACATTCCTTCAACACTTTTCCGGGGATGTTGTCTGGGCCAGTTGCTTTGTGCGGATTAATCCTCCTGAAGGTACTCCTTACTTCTGCTGAGGTCACGCTGAGATGCTCTTCATCCGGTGGCGAGGTGAGTCTGGTGCTGGGTGGTCTGTTCGGATCTTCAAAGCGTGCATAGAACTTGTTGAGGGCATCAGGCAGAGATGGGTCTTTGGGACATTGTTCACTCCTTCCTTTATAATCTGTTATGCACTTAATGCCCCTCCACATGCTCCGAGGGTCTTGTGAGATGAATTGACCCTCGATCCTCTTTGCATATGTGGCCTTGGCCCTCTTTATACCAGCAACCAGCTCTTTTCTTGTCCTACTCAGCTCCTCTGAGTTTCCAGACCTGAAGGCAGTGTTCCTGGCTTCCAGCAGGGTACGCACCTCTGCATTCAGCCAAGGTTTTCTGTTTGGGTAGCTTTTAACATTTCTGATAGTGGAGACTGTGTCAGTACATGTACTAATGTAACCCAGTACTGAGGATGTGTATTGGTCAAGATCAAGCGAACCTCCATTTTCAGCAGCTTCTCTGAAAACCTGCCAGTCTGTTCGGTCAAAACAATCTCTCAGTATGGGTCCACTGTCCTGGATCCAGCATTTAACTTTCTTTTGTACCGGTCTGGAGCGTCTCAGCGGGGGCATGTAAGCAGGAGCCAGGAAGATTGAGATGTGGTCTGACAGTCCTAGGTGGGGGCGGGGTTCGGCTTTGTATGCATTTTTTACGTTCGTGTAAACACGGTCCAGCGTGCGGTCTCCACGTGTCGGAATCGTCACATGCTGATTAAAGCTTGGGAGACAGTCCTTTAGATTCACGTGGTTAAAGTCTCCGGCTACCACGTAAAGAGCCTCGGGGTGTTTGCTCTGCAGCGAGCTGATGATATCATGAAGCTCCTGCAGTGTTTCATTAGCATTAGCGTCCGGAGGAATGTAAACAACTGTGATGAAAGTCACTGTGAACTCGCGGGGTAGATAATGTGGCTGACATTTCACTGTTATTTGCTCCAAAGCCTTCGAGCATGAGCTATTTACAACAGTACAGTTCGTGGACCAACTCTTACTCACGTAAATGCACACTCCGCCCCCCCGTGATTTCCCCATTAGCTCGCTGCAGCGGTCCGCTCGAAAAAAAAGTCTGTCATCCAGCTGGAAGACTGAGTCCGGCGTTTCACTTGTAATCCACGTTTCTGTGAGGCAAAGCACTGCACACTTCTTCATCTCTTCTGAGGCGCCCGCTCTCAGACGAAGTAAATCCACCTTGTTGTCCAACGAGCGGACATTCGACAGAAAGAGAGACGGCATGGGGAGTTTACCAGCTTTAGCGTTAGCTCGTAGCCTCACCATAACCCCCGCCCGGCATCCTCTCCTCTTAAGCCGGGAGCAGCGCTTCCTCTTCTGCCCGCTGGAACGCCTCTGCTGCAGCTTCCAGGTAGATGACTTTAAGATCTGCATTCTAAAACAATCTACTCTGTCTCCTTGACTTTTAATGACCCTCTTACGTCACTAAGACCACACCCCTGTTGGTTCTTTCAACCAATCAGGAAGTTCTCAGAGGAACCGGAAGTGACCTCTTTAAAAGGGTCAACACTTCCTAGTTCCAAGCAGAACAACGGGAACTACGCAGAACAAAGTTCAGAGCAGAACAAGTTCCAGAGAAGTTTCTAATGGAGTGACGAGAGTCCGTCGATGCCACGACGTCTCGGTGTGGCTCTACCCGACGGAAGCTCTGAACAATGAGGAAGTCTGTTCAGGGATGATCTCACGACTACCGAGGTCTCTGCTATCCTTACGGAGACGCTGAAAAGCGTTGAAAAGCAACTCTACACCGACGCTGAGATATCTTCTGCCAGGTAAAGAGTCGTCTTCAACTGCGAAGTGTACCGTGGGTTAAGCTGGGTCCAAAGGAGCGTGTTGTTTCTGGTTGTAATAGACATATTCCCTCACCCATCTCTCTCCATTTAAACTTCATTTTCCCATCTTTAAAACTCTTCTATCTGCCAGTGATTAATCCAGATATTTTCAGAAATGTCTGTTGGTTTCAAAAGCTGCAGGTGAGATACCATGGCCGTATGGTTCTCATTGTAAAGCTCATTAATTAAGCTGTGTTTATTGTAATCAATTTTGCCAAATTATTGTAAATGTGTGATGTGTTGAAATCGTTTTTTAAATAAACGACCCACTGTTGTTGGTGAGTCAAAAATAAAACACGTTTCCGTCCACATTTAATTATTCAAAACACGATATTACTCAGTCCAGAAAAATGAAAGAATCCGTTTAAATTATGAATAATATCAGTCACAGGTATTATAGTTCATTACACTGACAATGCTTTCTGGAAGTATTCCTGAGCCCATTCTGTTATTTCCTTGACAGTGGCATTTCTGTTTGAGGTGCAGTGACGTTTAAGGGCCCGGAGATCACGAGCATCCAGTAGAGTTTTACGGCCTTGACCCTTGCGCACAGCGATTGTTCCAGATTCTCTGAATCTTATGATGATGTTATGCACGGTTGATGATGATAACTTAAAAGTCTTTGCTATTTTACGCTGGGTAACACCATTCTGGTATTGCTGCACTATCTTTCTACGCAACAATGGTGATTGGTGATCCTCTTACCATCTTGGCTTCTGAGAGACACTGACACTCAGCTCTTTTTATACCCAATCATGTTGTCAATTGACCTAATTAGTGTTAATTGGTCTTCCAGCTGTTCGTTATATGCTCAATTTCCTTTTTCCAGCCACTTATTGGTACTTGTCCCAACTTTTTGGGGATTTGTTGACGCTGAAATTTTGACTCAACATATTTTTCCTTTAAAATGTTACATTTACTCAGATTAAACTTTTGATCTGTCATCTATGTTATATTACGAATAAAACATTGACATTTGCCATCTCCACATCATTGCATTCAGTTTTTATTCACAATTTGCTTAGTGTCCCAACTTTTTTGGAATCTGGTTTGTACTCGAGATCATGATAGCGATGTACTCTAGTACTATGTACTATAGTACTTGAGAGCATTATAGCGAGGTACTCTAGTATTATGTATTATAGTACTCAAGAGCATGAAAGCGATGTACTCTAATATTATGTACTATAGTACTAGAGAGCATGATAGCGATGTACTCTAGTACTATGTACTATAGTACGGGGGAGTGGTGGCGCAGAGGTTAGAAGATGGACTTGTGATCGGAAAGTCGCAGGGTCAACTCCTGGTACCGTCAGCATCAAAATGTGGGTGGAAAAGGTGAAACACCCACACCTCCCTCCACCCTCATTTGCCCCACTCTGGGCACCTGAGCAAGGCCCTTAACCCTCACCATCTGCTCCCCAAACAGGTCTCTCTTGAAAATGAGTTCTCGTGGCTCAATGAAACTCCCTGGATAAATAAAGTGTAAATGAAAAAAATATATAGTACTTGAGAGCATGATAGCAATGTACTATAGTACTTGAGGGCATGATAGCGTATATACTCTAGTACTATGCACTACAGTACGTGAGAGCATGATAGAGATGTATTATAGTACATAGTACTAGAGTACATCTCTATCATGCTCTCATTGAGTATCAGTGTGTTGTGGAGCAGGACGGTGACAGTTTTGAAGAAACTGGGTTTGGACTTGTTGCACCTGGTTTTGTCCAGGTCCAGGTTGGACCGTAGATGACTTTAGCTGTAAATATGCACCATATAAATGAAGTGACTTGGACTGGTTTGAACTTGAATTGATGCATCTTTATTACGTTGGTCTACAGCGGGTTATTTCCTGTAATCTTTCATAAAGTGCTCGTTACATTTTAAAACAGCAAAGCTTCTTCTGACTTTTTGTTTAATGATAGCAGCAACCAAAATTATTTACGTACAACGCTTTCATCTGGGCGATTCTGCAGTCCCAACCTGGAGTTTAAATTAGAAGATGTTTAACCAAGTGAGCTTCTAGATAAGAAGGGTTCAGTTATCCACATGAATGCTTTCATTGGTGCTGCTTGGTGCAGCTCTTTGCTTTTTCTTCTTGTAGCTGGGCCAACGACACACCGGGCAACAGTGCCGGCCTGCTGCCAACCACACTACAATGCACTGCTGGTGGAAGGCATGGCCGCAGGGCAGACCCATCAGCAGCTCCTCGCTCACAAAGTTCTCCAGACACACCACACACTCTGAGCACAGGAGCATGTCAGAGGGCCACAGCGACCAGTCATACAGCTGGTGGTTGGAGAGCCCTGGAGGTGTGGCATCCTCTGGCAACTTGTTGACCAATGTTGAGCTTCCATGACAACAGAAGGACGCCGCAGCAGCAGTGTGTGCACACGGACACGTGCTGATGGGATTACTTTCATCGTCTGTGTTGCTGTCCTGACTGCACAGCTCTCGTTGGTGCCGTGTGCTGCTGAGACCTGCAGGAGAACGATCCAACAGTTCTTGGATCTTGGTTTCCTCGTCCTGTCGTACACCAGACACACTTTCCTTCCACCCACTGACAACTTTCAGCCTCCAGGTCGGCAGTAGTTTAATGTAATCCATGTTTACCAGTGGATGAAGCCAGAGATCTGGAAAAGCTAAACGCTGGAATAAGAAGTTTGGATCGTCCTCCCAGTCTGAGTGGTCAGACGGAAACTGCTGCAGTGATGCAATTGGGTGGAGCAGATAGGAGGTGTACCAGTCCCACAAACTGGCCAGCCACTCCAGATTGGTGGTGCTGTCCTCCTGGTTCCTGGTTCCACAGCGGCGTTTCTTCTCAAAGTAGTCGACCAACAGGCCGTGGACCAGGTAGGTGAACAGGAACAGGGCTGGATGGGATGAGTAGAAGGTCCAGTCGGCTCTTACTAAACTTGCCAGCGTGGTGGTGTCGGCGTAACGTAGCAGCTTCAGACTGAAACCATACAGGGTGTTCAGATAGGGCAGCTGCAGGACAGCCTGGGTGAATCAAAAATAAAAGCGGTTACTTGTAACTAATCACTTCCACGGGTCACTGTCTTACAGTCTTTACATTCCTTTGCTGGAGGTTGAACGCATTTCATTTCTCTACAGGAAAGGCTACAGAAACTCTGATAAGGTTGTAAGACTCGATCACTAGGCCTGTCACGAGAACAAAATTTGCTGGGCGACTAATCATCTCAGAAATTATTGCGATAAACAATAATATTATTTGTAATTTGACAATAATTAGTAATTATTGTCAAAATTAAGAATAAATATTTTCTCTCATCTTATTTTGTTTTGCATATAGTACCTTTTTACGACCACCGGATGGCAGTATAAGACCGAATCGAAGGATGGATAGTGAGGGAGCGAGCAGCGTGACTCTTAAGAAAAATGGGAGGGAAGCGCTTTGATGCTTTGACAAAACTGAGTTTTTTTTGGAGGTCGGCCTATTAGCTTAGCTCCTTTTAACAATCCAAAAACACAATTTTGGACGGTTAAAACACATTTTAAAGAGAAAGAAAGGGGTCAGTAAAGAACACTGGAGTTGAGCTGTGTCTTAGAAAGAGACACAAAAAAACAATAAAGCCGATAAATGAAAATGAGGTCGATAATTGTCATTCATCGTGCGATTAATTGATTTGTTGTTTATTGCAACAGGCCTATCCATCACTTGTAAAAATCAGATGATTTCATACCAGGACAGGAAGCCAGGACACCAGTAATATGGAGTTGTAGGTTCCAAGTGTTCGGATCAGCACCACAAATCTTTTGACTGTCGCTCCCTGCCCATGAAAAAGAAAAAAAGTTAAATATTGACTGACAAAAGATACAAAAGACAAACGGCCATATTATAATTAGGGCATTAACAGAGTACTCGAGTAATCTACATATCGATTGTTAGGACATCTATCGAGGTAAAAAATTTAACATCGAGTATCCGTAGTGACGTCATATTATGTGACCACCGTATGACCGTAGGGGGTGGTGTTGCACTGTTGCAGGTCACAGAGTATGGTGTAACACCAGGTCCAATCCACTGAACCAGAACCAGTTTCGGTTTAAGTTTCGTTTTTGACGTGCTGCACGTTTCTTCACGTTTGCAGTTTAATAATAATAACTAATAGTTTAGTTTTTCCTGTGACTTATTTGCAGTATGATAAATGGTAGGAGCATAATATACGCTCCCAATGTTTTGTTGGTCTTTTTTTTGTAAATAATTACCTTTTTTTGCGGTTTTATTTATTTATTTATTTTTGTATCTTGAGATCTATGACATCATAAAATACTCTAGTTCTACTCGGGTTTTATTATGTTAATGTCGAGTTTTAAAGTATATACTCATTCAACCCCTAATTATAATATAATGTGTATAGTATTATACCATATCATATATTAATTATATATATATTATTATACTACTATATTCTTTCCAGCACTGCATTCAAAATTTAACACAAAGTATAAAAGCTAAATGTAACATGAACAAAAGCTGCAGGTGGTACATTATACATCCATCCACAAACTATTATACAGAAAAGACCTTGTATGACCTTCAAGCTTGATTTGTGACATTGACTAATTGTCTGCAGGACTCGAGCATCATCATCACCCATGGTTGGGTCAAACTAAGCCTGTGGTTATGTTTATTTGCTGAAAGCAGCATTTGTGTAATCCCGATTGGGATGCATCACAAACAATGATGGGTCCATCTGCAGGCAGGAGGTGGAACATCTGGAGAGCTGGTGCAGGAAGAACAACCTTCACCTCCATGTAAAGAGGATGATGGAGATGGTTGTGGACTTCAGAGCTAACATGCCTACCCCCTGAATGTAGGAGGACCTGCAGTGAAAGTGGTCTCAGCTACAAGGATTCAAGGATTTTTTATTGACATACCAGTTCACATTTTAATGTTTATGGTACGAAATTCAGACTCCGGTTCTAGATCAAGTTAAAAAATGTAAGATGAAGCTGAATTAAGTGCAGCTGGAGTTAATCAGTCTGACAGCTGCAGGGAAGAAACTGTTTCTGAGCCTGGTGGTCTTGCTCTGAATGCTCCTCAGCTGCCTGCTTGAGGGGAGGGGCTGGAACAGACTGTGTGCAGGTACATGTACTACAAGTAATACAAGTACTTGGGTGTGCACCTGAACGATAACCTCAGCTGGGGCAACCACACCACCAGCCTGATCAAGAAAGCTCATTAGGGACTCTTCTTCCTCAGGCGGCTGAGACAAGCTGGACTGGGAAGCTTAGTCCTCACCTCCTTCTACAGGTGTGCAGTGGAGAGCATCCTGTGCTCCAGCATCAACATGTCGCATGGAGGCTGAACAGCTGCAGAAAAAAAAGCTTTGCAGAGAGTGGTGAAGGCTGCACAGCTGCAGAAAGAAAAGCTTTGCAGAGAGTGGAAAAGGCTGCACAGAAGTCTGTTGGAGTCAGCCTCCCCACCATCACAGACATCTACACCTCCAGATGCAGGAAGAGGGCCACCTGCATAGAGCTGAAACGATTCCTCGAATAATTCAAGTGCCTTGATTTAAAAAATCCTCGAGGCAAATTTATCTGCCTCGAAGCCTCGTTAAACTATTCAGAGCACTGTGGTCTAGCCAGAAGGTTTGTTACACAACGCTAGCGCTTACGCTAACGCGTATGTGCTAAGTTTGTAGCTAAGGAGGGAACGGAGAATGCATAGAAGAAGAGCCCCGAAAACAACAAAAACTGAAAAGTTTGGGAACATTTTAGGCTAAACAGAAAAGACAACACAGTGAAATGCATCCACTGCAAAGCAGAACTGGAGTAACCACAACAGCACATCATCGATGTTGCAGCGTCTGACGAGAAAACACCCGCTGTCTGCATCAAACTCGTCCGCTGCTGCCAACAGGTATCATTTATGTTCTCTTTGCAAAATATGTTAACCTAAATATGTGATAATCTGTCATGTCAAAGATGTAAAATGAGGCATATTTTTGCTAATGTTAAATCTATTGACTAATCATAGTGGCTACCTGGCAGGGTATGTACATTGTGAGGGAAAAAAAAAACTCTGCACGACTTGATGCATGTTTGTTAACGATAAAAGCAGCAATTGACTGTATGAGCTGAAATACATTTATTTTTTGCTACTGTCATATTTGTTTATAGCTAAGCAATCAAGACTAAATAATAATACCGTCTGGAAAACTCAATGTAAAAACTCAAACTTTACATTATCTATCTTACTCAGTTTCTAACATAAAGATTCCATTCAGTTTTCCAATCCATAAAAAATATTTACAGCATTTAGATTTTTATGTGATGGTGATATAATAATAATGTTTTTAAATGCTTTTATGCCATATTATACTTTTGAAATAAAACGTGGACAACTAAGGTCAGGTTACCGTGAGAGCAAGATGTTGTGTTACAGAAAGGAATGTTCTAATTACTTGGGAAGCCCCAGAGGAGGATTTACTTAAAAGAACTGTGATGAAGTGTTTTTGATGTTCTTATCACTTGGGAAGCCTGAAAGGAGGACTTTGGCCCGTCCCTCTTGCACGCTCCCTTGAAGTTTCTGAGTTTCAAGTCTCAGATAAGTTTTCACTCCCTCGCACGCAGGTGGGAAGGAGTTGCCCCTTTCTGGAATGCAGCTCTGAGTTTCAAGTAAACATGTTTTTGTTCACTGGGAAACGCTCTCATGTGATGTCGAGAGAGAGAATAAAAAGAAGAAGCACTTAGACCAGGTTAGAGTCTGCGATCGGAACGTCTAGCTGTGTCGGTGTTTTGGTTCCGCCTTGGCTGTCTGGCTCTCCAGCCTTGTGTCACGGTGAGAGCTGTTTTATGCATCGATACTTATGTGTGTGTGTGTGTACATCTGAGTATGATTGTACATTGCTTTGCTTTTTCGCTGTTATCTGTGGCAGAGTAATAAAAACACAAATTATTCTAGCAGAACAGCGTTTGTGTGTTTTCTTATGAACTATTGTGCTGATTACTCTTCCGAATCCTGGTTTTATTTAAACAAATGTCCCAAATCATTTTGGAGTCACGAACAGGATATTGGAAAGAGTACTGCATAATGTTCAAAAGAAAAGCTAAAGAGAGTGAGAAAATTGAGACAGAAGAGGTTGTACCGGGATGGAGCAAATCCCCGTATCAATTGATAGCGGTTTGTTTAAGAGGCAGCGGGGGACGCCCTGAGCCTTGGAATGATTCCTTACATGTTGATAGCCCTGGCGATGTTTTAGCTGCTTTACAAGTGGTAGATGTGAACAAAAAGACGCCGGTGGCCGGATTGCAGTGCCGATTGTGGGTTTGTGCGACTGCTTGGAAAAATCTGCATGAGGAGAATCAGGCAAAAATAACACAAGCATTGAATCAGAAACAGGCGCTCGAGGAAGTGCGAGCTGAGAATTTGTTGCAGAAACAACATGTACAGCTGCTGACCACGCAGCTGAACAGAATGAACAATGTTGCGGAGGGTGCGGTAACACAGGTCTCTATGCTGAAAAGAGAAAAGTTCAGGAGAAAGAAACGAAGTGTGTCACTTAAAAGAGTTTGTGCTTTTGTTGCTCATTTGGGAACCGGATAGGATCCGTCGAGTTGGGACGGTAACATCTGGGGAGACGAGGAGGATGAAAATGATTACATTTAGAGTGAGGAGAAGGATGAACTAAATGCCGGAGTGGCGGTGAGGTCTCCTATCATTCAAACGAGCAAAAATGTAAAACCTGTAAAAAGACGTAGGAAAGAGGAGCAGAGAATACCAGATGTGTTGCAAGCGAGGGTAGACGCCCAGGGACAACAGCTGGTGGGGCTCGACGGACAGCCAATCATGGACTTGGTAGCACAGCAGCAACCTCAGGCAGATTTAAAAATGATAGTCGCGGACTATACCCAGGAGGAGGTTGCTTACTTGTCTAAAATATATAAACAACAGACTGGAGAACCCACAGATGCCTGGGTAGCTAGGCTGTTGGATAAAGGTGGAGGTCAGGGTAGGAGTGAATTCAGCGTACCGACAGGAAGTCAGAGCTTTGCAAGACTCGAGACCTTTGTTTGAAGTTTATGCAGAGGCAGTCCGACAGATGTTCAGCATCGGATCCGGAGCATCGGATGGGCCTGATTTACAGGGGCATTGGGTGACCTTAAGGAAATGCGTGAAAAGCCTGGTTCGACTGTGTGTAAGAGATGCACTGGCTGTGGGTTTGGCAGCAGATTATCAAGTGCATGTTGTTCCAAAGGCAGTGAGGGATCAGTTGATCAGAACAGCGCCATCTCAGTATTGATCTGCAATGCATACTGTAATGTTGGGAGCTGCTGATGTTCGAAGCCGAGTGTTGGAACTGGGTGCACTCAGAGATTGGAACACAGAGAGGGCTGAAAACCGTGAAAAAACATTTAGTCAACCCATGGGTCGTGGGCCGAGAAGGGACGGCTGAAATAATACACAGGGACCCTCTCGCTCTGCTTTTTGGAGGGCGTTAATACAGGCAGAAGTGCCTCCAGCTGAGATGGATGGTTTGTCAACAGAAGAGCTGAGGGCTAAATGCCATTATTTGGATTGAAAGGGCCAAAAGTAGAAGGTCCAGATGTTGACATCAACCTTCTGAAAGCAGATATTGCCAACATTGAACATCAAAAGTACAAAATTAGAGAGCCCAGATTTTGACATTAAACTAAAAGGCCCCAAACTTGAAGGTGATATTGATGTTAAAATGTCAAAGGCGAAATTAAAACACCTGATGTTGACATTAAAGGCCCAGCCATTGACATTGAGGGCCACAAAGGATGAATTAAAATGCCTAAA